GCAACATGGAATTGACAGCATTTTGGATTTCAATAAAAGATTAATATCCCCTTCTAAGTGTTAAGGCTCAGCGGGTTTTAATTTCATTTTCGATGTCTTATTTGTGCTAAGCTGGGTTTTCGGCGGTTGCTGTAATAAAAAGCACGTATAGAGCAAAAATCAACGTGGACAAGGAAATGAGGGTGGCTGTGTCCAGCTTGATTCCACGATTTAAGAAAATGTGCAGTGATTTACAAGCTTATCCATCTCATGCATTGTTAATTTAGTGTTATTACCAAAAACAAAAACAAAAAGGACGATACATGAGTTTTATTTGTTTTATCTCTTACTTAAGAATGGTCATACTTTTACTTAGGTTAGGGCGCCGTGGAAAAATTTTAATTGAAAAAAAGGCACATCGGCTAAAAAAAAAGTTGGGGAAACACTGAATTAAGCGATGAAAGTCTAGTGAAGATTGCACAAAGTATATGTTAGCTAAATGATCTAGCACAAGAAGCGGAGACAGCAGCAGCAAAAGGAAACCTCTAGAGAACTTTATACTTTAACACAAGAAAATTAGTAGGTAAATATAGTCAGCCAACTGGATCAATCAAAAATAGTCAAGGAAAGGTACTTACTAACACTAAAGATCAAATGGATAGATGGGTTGAATATTTTGAAATGCTTCTAAATAGCCCAGGTCTAGAGGTTCTCCCAGATATCCAGCCTTTAGAAATGGAACTGGATATCAACTGTGAGATACCATCCAAAGAGGAAATTAGAAAAGCTATCAATCTTCTCAAGGAAGGAAATGCGGCAGGCCCAGATGGTATCCAAGCTGAAGCCATCAGGGCCAACATAAACACATCAACAGAATTGCTACATAGATTATTCAGTAAAGTCTAGGAGACCGAAGAAATACCAGCAGACTGGACAGAAGGATATCTTGTGAAACTGCCCAAAAAAGTTGATCTACAGGAGTGTGAAAACTATAGAGGAATTATGTTGCTGTCACTTCCTAGAAAAATATTAAGTAGAATTATTTTGGAAAGATTAAAAGATGCTATTGATAAAAAGCTAAGAGATGAACAGGCAGGTTTTCGGTAAAACAGATCCTGTACTGACCAGATGGCCACATTACGTATTATAATAGAGCAAAGCATTGAACTGAACTCGCCACTTTACATTGGATTTATAGACTATGAAAAAGCATTTGACAGCATTGATAGGTTATCTCTCTGGAAATTGATGGGGCACTATGAAATCCCACAGAAAATGTTTAACTTGGCAAAGGCAACATATTAAAAAGACATGAAATGTCGAGTTCTTCTTGAGGGAAAGCTAACAGATACATTTGAAATAAAAACAGGCGTGCAATGGGATGTCTTTCGTCGCCTCTCTTATTTTTACTGGCTATAGACTGGATTATGAAAACAGTAACTGCCAACACCAAGAATGGAATTCAGTGGACCCCTACAAAACAGCTTGATGATCTGGACTTCGCTGATGATATTTCTCTTCTGTCCCATTCACGGAATCAGGTGCAAGATAAATTAAATATACTTGATGCGATATCACAGCAGCTTGATCTGAAAATCCCTAAAGGAAAGACAAAGAAAATGAGAATAAATGAGGCAAATAATTATGTTATCATAGTCAACGTCACTGCACCTTAGAAATTATCGTGTGCGCTCAGTCCTCCGATGCAGTGGCCACCCCAAGGTACACTAATCCAATATTTTCCCAAGTTCACCCATAGGTGATCTTCTTGTATACAGGGAGAAACAGGCTCCTGTGAGTTAAGTGACTTAGATCGTATGATCGGACAGATCAAGAACATAACATGGAGAAGGCACCACGGGGTGGGGTGGGGGGAGGGGGGGGTTTGAAAATGGAGTCGTCCAAAGTTTAAGTAACAAAAGCGGCATAAGAATTTTAAAAAGGCTTAGATTGGGCATGACACACACACAAGTTTGTACATACTGCTCTAACGATCGTTCCCATGAGAAGCTTCTATCTTGACCTTGAAGACGGTACCGACTGCTTTACTCTGAAATAGACAAAATTGTGAGTCTGACATTAACTGAAACGTTTATGTGTTCGTTTGTTTTTCCATAGATAATATGATGTTTTTGCTGTCTAGATTATAAACACAGTTTTTAATTGTTTGTTAAACTACTTCTGTCCCATAGTGTCTCTATTGAACCACCTCAGGCCTTAGTATATCAATAATACGCAGTATTTATTAATTCAAGCTTCAATCCCTGGCACATAAGCGGTTAAATAAACAACTTCTTGGTACTCAATGAATCAATGCACTCGGGACATTCCCATGCGTGCTTCGTCTCCTTCCTCGGTAGCCAACGAAGAGTGCCCATACTGATAGTGCTAGTTGCCAGTTCTCAGTGTTGAATATCATTCATAATCTCAGCCCCCCCCCCCCTTCTCCAGGTCGAATTAGTCTTATTTTCACTAATATCTATACATGGTTACATAAGGTCTCATAGTGTCTTACAAAATAATTCCTTCCCTCCTCCCTCCCCCTTTTTTTCAAGAGACCTGAGACCCTAAGTTCTAGCGCCTATGTCGACTTCCCACAAATTACCGCCATTGTTCCATACATCCCAGCAAACTGTATTCACTGATAGGCTAGCACATAACGTTTAACACAAGAACAAGAACTGCGAATGTTGTTCCTAGCTAGGACAGACGTGGACAGGAAAGAATAATTAACACTTGATTTTTTAAATGTTTGTGAAGAACTGATATTACAGCACTCTTGACATTCCCGTAAGCTCTCCATTTTTTGAAGTTACATGAAGTCGCTGAATTGGTGTTTAAAGTAAGCTGGCTTCCATAAAAGAGCTTACGCTAATTACTGGGAGGGGGGGGGGGGGAAGGGGGCTCAAGGCACCTAGGTTCCGGCGCCTATGCAACAAGATGACAAATTGAGAGGAATGGGTAACAGTACCGCCCGGCAAATAAGCATGAATTGTGTTGTGACCGTTACCTTTGACTGAGGGTCTCGGGAATTGATAACTGGTGAAACAGAGGCGTCAGTGCAAAAGCTGATCAACGCAAGTTCACCCATAGGTGATCTTCTTGTATACAGGGAGAAACAGGCTCCGGCGAGTTAAGTGACTTAGATCGTATGATAGGACAGATCAAGAACATAACATGGAGAGGGCGATTAGCTGGCTGCTGCTGCTCCTTGAACGAACAAACTTTATTTATCAAATGAGCTACTTTTGGATAAAGCGGACGAAGGCTCCTCTTGGTTAAGTGAACAGCTCAACAGAACAAACAGAGGATCTATACTCGAGATACTGATTCAGTGGGGAGCTAGCAGAGAATCGAGTCCAGGAGTACCTCCACACAAAAAGGATGTGTGTGGGGGGGGGGGGGGGGGGGGGTGGACTCAGCCCCTTATCATTTTTTAGGGAATAGGCTCAAAGTGATGTTTAATTGCGCAATGATTATGATGATTATTATAGTCTGTTAAATGCAGATAAATATAATAATATATATGAAAGAGGTGTAAGCTTTGTTTAACCGTGCAATCATAATAATAATTGTTATAGTTATTTTTATGTGCCGTATAGAAAATAACTATAACACAGTATATTTGTAATAATATGCAATGTATTAACTATAGCTTAACAAAGATAACGTCTATACATGGCGGGGGGGGGGGGGGGGGGGCAGGGAGGCTCTACTCCCTAAACATTGAAGTTGCTGTTAGATCAGCCCTCCCCCTCCCCTAACAAACTAGAGACAGGGGGCACCAGGTGCCAGAGCTACCAGATTCCTGTACCTGTGATCTGGACGGTTTTCAACATGCAGGGAAAAGGACAGGCAGAATTTTAATCAGGTTGCAATTGGTATCATCACTAAGGGTACTGTTCTTTGGCTGCTGAGGTTCATTAATTTATCAGCCGTGCGCTTGTGTTCAACGAAGGTGGGTAGCAATACTAGCTACGGTCCCCACCAAGCATGTAAGTGAAGGTCCCTTTTCCACGCCTTTTGGCTTATTGGGAATATAGGGCTAGACGCCACTTCGACTTCCTACCAAACATGGCCACTGCCAAAAACGAAGTAAGAAGCAGACAACACTTCTTTACAGATATCTAGTAACAGTTTTTGTGTATAGTTGTGTAGCATTTGGGAAACAAGCTCTACAACAAAATATTGTTTCGACATTGGATAAATTATTAATATGAACACGATAATTCTGCCTTTGTCGTACTGCTTATGTCTCAAAGCGCACAGCGAGGAGTTAACCTATATGTTGTTTCCTGTATTTTGCTAGTTGCTAGCCTGTGTTGATGTCATATTTGCGTTTCTGTAGTGTCTCTTTTACTCCCCCACCCATCTATTTATATGTCTATTTTTTGTCTATAGGCCTGAGATTCTCTTGCAGTACGCTCTAGCTGCCTTCGGATTTAATATTTTGACCAGATGACTAAACCATTTGATTATTTGAACTTTAAAATAAACTACATTTAAATTAGGATTTTGGATACGAACACATCTAAATATAATTAAATCAGTGAACCATATCTTAGAGTCATAAATTTATTATTCAAGCTACTAAAGTTTATTGTAAACAGAGGTGTACATGCCCCAAGCGTGGAAACACCCCACAAAAAATGTATATTATTTTTTCGTGTGTCGTTCGTTATGGCTATTACAAAGCATGAGCCGGGATTCATCACCGTGTGCCAATTAAGACGTTTTATTTTGTATTGTTTTGTTAATTTTAATACGAATAATACTACAAGCGTGAAAACATAAATGACAAGAAATTTATTTTCTCCATATATTTTTCTATATTGACTGTGGGATTAATTAAAGAGCTGCATTAAAATAAAATAAATAAATCCGTGAAATGGATGACAGCAGAAGATCTGAGCTCCTGGCCACATGGCACACGGCTGTGTTTAACAATATTCTGAATCTGATGTCAACAGGCGATTCGTGTTGAATTTTATCTTTCCTTTAATAAATGTTTTGACCGCCAGATGGAAAATATGGAAGACAGCGGGATAGACAGTGATCAGAGATCACACGTAAGAATATAGTTTTTATATTTGCGAGATTCCGATGTATTGTTGTCAGTAGGATCAAATTCACGAAACAATGCGATAATAATAATTGCCCCAGCTGTAACTTAAGTAACTACTGTCGTGTCGCACTGCTAACTTTTATCTCAGTATCTCCTGCAGTAAGAATATTTGAACAGCAGATCAGCTTCATGGCACAAGGATAGTAACCCATATGTGCTCCTTTCTACTTCTAACTGTAACTCAAGCCTGATTCCGAAGAATCTCAGACTCAGCGCAGTGCACAAAGTGACAAACTCGTAGCACCGGCGAGGATTCTGAAATACTTTTGGTAGATTTTTAACTCCAGATTTTGCCCGGGCATCGCCGTTAGGAGGCTACTGATCGATTTCCAACTGCCATGGAAGTTTTTTACGTGCGTAACAGTACACATGGGCGTCCAGTCTTACTACTCAGAGACCGAGGGGGAAATTATTAGGTGTCCGCGTAAAAAATCCTAGCCTTTGGCTTTACCAGGACCTGAACTCGAGACCTTCAGCACTCAAAGTAAACTTTCCTAATTAGCTCTTTTACAGCATTCTAGTTAGGGGGAGTCAGTGGATATAACCACCCCCCCCCCCTTTCCAATGGGGCCCTGGAACCCACATCTGGAGTTTTGACATTGAAGCATTTTTTATTCGAGGGTACTATAACTCTTGTGAATTACTAAAAAGTTTAGCTTGTATGCAGATTGTTAGAGTTTTGGGTTCTCCTTTAAATAATGGTCGCTAGTTGGACGTCGACGGCCGCTTGGTCGGAGTTCACTCCCCTGGCTGCACTGCAATTACTGAGTGGACAAGTCACGAATCAAAAAACAAAGTGACGTTGACATGGCTGCTAGAGCTAGGCCATTAGCGACCGCGTTCTTGCGACGCAAGACTTAGTGACCGTAGATGTGAGACCTGCGGATCTCTATGTCGTACTGAGCTATAAGCTTGCGTGGTTTCGATGATGTGTTACCCTAACCCTACCCCTAACCCTAGGAGGGCATGACCTGAAAAATGTTGTAGACCACTGATGTAAGTAGTAGGTAAAACAGAAACTCGCGCAAAACTCAAATCCTGAAACAAAGCCAAAGTCTATAAATGGACGCGCAGCCAAGGTTTACGGACAGTGAATCCAAACAAACAAAGAATTTAAGTAGTTGTCACTTCCACTTACTTTAGAGCTTCCATATCTTCTTCTATTTATTTGTCCGAGTGATAAGCTGGGATATTTGTGCCTTTTGGCCAACACATTTTACTTTTTGAAGCATTTATTGAGCTTGTTTACTTCCTGGATTCCTGCATAGTTTTAAGCGACATAACGTAATCTTATTTGTAGTGTTCTCTTGTCCCCTTATATACAGCTTTTGCCCTTTGGTAAATGTCAATGCTCTCCTCAGTCCATGGTGATCTGAACAGGCTGATTCGGGTAGACTGCTTCTTTTCCTGGTTACCCTGGCAAACACCAACAGAGTTCATACACTGCAGCTCGACAAAGCTCCTCAGGAAGGTTCTACTTGATAGATAACAAACTGTCTTTTAGCCATTGGAGCCCACATACGCTCCTGAAGAAGGATCTCCTTGAATGATGACAAATGAGTGGCTAGCAACAACTGCCTCCTAGCCACTGGAGAAGTTGTGGTATTAGGCACTATTGGTGGATGGTGGTTGGTTGGACTGTTGATAGTCTGCCTGACTTCCAGGGAGGTATCATCCTGTGTCAGGAAGGAACTTAGAATTAGTATTCATATCAGGAGTCACATACCAAGCTCAATTTATTTCCCTCCACCCTTCTCAGTCACTCAGAGGTTAGCTCTCAGGATAATGAGACAGTTAAATCTTCATGTATCGCTATCTGTCAGTCAGTACAAAAGATAGGAGACAAGTTCCATAGTGGAGATAGATAGACACTAGTACACATAGGACATCCTCTCTCCACATTCCCATCTGCACTTTTAGACATACATTCCAGCTCTTCATTACATATATATTATACCTCCACAGTCTGACCGTAGCTGACACTGTGTTGTTGTGTGTCTACAAAAAATAACCTCTGACGTCACAGTGTCTCGCCCGCTGTAGTTTGACCCAGTTAAATCTGCCGGCTATATCGACCTGAATCTCTGCCAGTTAGTTAGAATATAATTAGCCTGCTAGATTAAAATATTTACAGTAATATGGGGTCAGGTAGGACACAAACTATCAGCTTGTGAAGGGAAAGATTTGGTTTAAGTGGCTGTGAGTACTTGGACACCAAGAATGGCCTTGTTCTGCTCTGTCCCATAGCTGACTCTTTCCTCCCCGCAGCAGCGGTTAACTTGATAGAGACATATATCATGGTACTTGCAAACTATAATCAACTTACCCAAGCTTTATGAAATGTCCTAGACAAAAGGCGGCCTCCTCAAAGCATGGATATTTGAGGCACATTTAATACGTCAGTTCTTCTTGGCAGTCAGACAGAGAATGATGCGGTAGGCTAGGCGTCCTTTCAAAGAAAGTAGCCCGCGAGATTAATGCGCCGAGGAGTAAAAAGGCTTCTCGGAATTCTAAATATTAATCCAGAAAATATCTATCCCACAATTGTAAGTTTGAAAATGTAGACTTTTCAAGACAACTAGAGTGTATAGAAATACCTATTACGCCAGATAAAGGTATAAATAGATATGAGGGACTATATACCCACCGGACGGGTCTATATTTGAAATGTGACCTGCCCGCTAGGGGCGCCAACGTCACGAATAGTCGAATGTGCAGGGGTGAGTTGGATCACTTCACGACAGCTCACACAAGGAATAATCACACCCTGAACATGACTGCTTAACCTCACTGTATGTTGAGCTTCTCACTCAGACTGGACACTATGTCTCTGGAGGCCACCAACTCTGAGATCCCCTGCCAGCTTGGTTTTGATCACACTGGTCAAGCCATTATCCATGGTACACATAGAAGATGTGTGGTAGGAGTCTTGCATGAGGATTTGTAAAACCAACAAAGAGACTGCTGGCACCTGAATTGAGGTATGGATTATCTCCTTACACACATCACAGTGGCCTTCAATTTCCCTGTGAATGATATCACCACGCCACGAGTTGACATTTGATATTGTTGTATTATTTTCAGAATGGCTACCAGTCAGTTCCATCTAAACCAGCTTCATATAAAGCCTTGAAGAAACCATCAGAGCTGCAGAAAAAGATAGGTAATGTCCAGTTTCAATTGATTTGTTTGTGTTTAGTTAGTAATTTATCATCTACATTACTTGTATTGAAGCCTCTATAAATGAGACACGTTATCACAATCAGCGTCATACTGCACATTAGGCAATCTCACATATTCTCAGTCCTCCGATGCAGCAGCCGCTGAAAGTACCTCTACTAATTGTTTTCAGGAGAAGTTGGTTATAATGTCTTCTATCTCGACCTTAAAGGCAGCTTAGACATGCTTCACTGTGCTTTTACTACCAGATCGGGGCACTAACACATATGTAGTGTCAGACATTTGTCATTATCCGCTAATCTGATCCATACAGCGTTGATAATGTTTTCTGCTATTGATCACACAAGGAGTGTCAAGAACGGTGCACAAAGTCGGCAGCACTAGCTGTTATTTAAACGTGTGTATGTGTACTAGGAGCACATGTTGTAAACTTGTATTCATTTCATTGTCATCACCCTTTTGTGCTGTTATATGTCACATGGGGCTTGCAGTCTGGTCTTCCATTCTGCACTCATCTGTGCAATCCTTTTGATATCATAAATGGAATCCAGTCCAGCACTTGTGGCCTCACTCACCAGCTTTCCTTTTATAGTTTCTCTTGGACATCTGTTTTTTTTTTAAATTTGTTTCCCATTTCTTTACCTGTTTGGTTTTATCTTTATGAGAAGGAAAGGAAGTCTGGGCAGTGACCTATTCAGAAAACTGTAATTTCTAACTTTCTTATGATTTGTGTTATTTACCACATGCACATGTATACGCCTGATATATTTTGATTTATCCATAAAAGAAAGGCATTTGATGTTTATATATATATAAATTCACTTTTGTGTGATCTTTTTTGAGTTAGAGGTTGACATTGAGAGACCCTACATTAGACACACTCAAATCCTTAATAAAACAGGTTCTTCTGATGTAAAGGGCGATGATATTGAAGACTTAGCCCTTTTGTACAAGGACAGAAAACAATGGGATCCATGTGTAAGTTATACAGTATACAAATTATACAGTGGTTGGTAATCGTAGGTTGGGAGAGGGGGGTAGATCCACTGCCTCCCCTAACAAGCATGTCATGAAGGTCAACTAATTAGGAGTGTTCCTTTGAAGTCAGAGTACATCTGCCTGAGAGGTCAAATAACCAGAACATTCTGCCGGAGTTTACAGCCAGTGAACGTGAAGAAGAAGAAGAAGACTACAGTAGCATTTTAGAGGGGGAAAACTTACCTGTGGTTAGATAGGGCCCAGTACCATGAATGAAATCTGTCTCAAGGGAGTAATCCTTATACAACTATATGATGGCATTGGACATACTGATCTCTGAGTTAGAGAAATAGATGTAAAACACTTCCCACAAAATGAATGAATATATGGTTATGAAGACATTTTGGACTTAGTTGAGTCACGAATTGACATCACAACACTCGGAGGATTCCCATGTGTGCTCCGTTCTCATCTTCAGCAGTCAGCGCAGAGTTCGAATACTGATGGTACTGATCACTATCTGGTTATATGTCCGTCTTGCCTTTCCTCTGAGTGTAGTGAGCCGGCCAGACACACAGGTGCCTCATTCTCTCCAGGCCATAATAATCTCGTTTTCTACTGATATCGTTGCTTTTTCTCCACAGGGCCTTGACTACATCAATTCACCACCCAGTGGTGCAGATCCAGCCAATCTGTCCGCCTATTTATTACCCACCATGCCGGCATGGCCTGGAGAAAAGATCCAAAGTATGCTCACTACCTGTGACCTTCCCAGTGAAGCTTGCCACTTTAGACTTAAAAAAAACATAACACCCTGTTGAAAAACCACAAATTGATGAAAATGTAGAAGACAAAACAATTAGTTTGGAGATTATAATTCTGTAAAAACAAAAGAAATATAAACATTGAAGTAGAATATACTTACTTAGTCGCTTCTCTTCTACCTTGAAGTGTAGAGGTTTGCCAGAGTGATGGCCAGACTTCTCTATCAGCAGTTTGCTTTCCAGTACACTGTCGGACAGGGTCTGTCAGATGTTTTTGTCTCAGTAAACCCTGGGTTGTCCTGGAAGTCTGGTTTGCTCGTTCTTGGCCTCCCATGCCTGCTATAGTGGCCGATTCTCTCATATTCTGCGTACATGTCCAAACCATCATGACTGACTGACCCACTTGAGCTTAATTTAAAGGCCTGGGTTTCAAGATCATGACATACTATCTGGTTGTAAACTTTGTCAGAGTAGAATATTTTAAATTAAAATTACAAAATGCAGTCATCCAGTCCAAATTAATCATTTGTGCAGACATTGACACTTTTATTTGTCAGAGTGTAGAAGAGAACTTGTTAGTTTATTTTGTTGTAGTTATTGCATTGTAGATACATGCGAAAGTCAAATCAAGTTCATTAATGTACTGTTAAATGAGAACTTTTTACATATTAGTTGAAAGCAAATGATGAATGTTCTCTGATTTGTTATACAGAGCGGCAGCGAGATATGGCAAGGCGGTCCACATCAGTACCTGTTGAACAGCAGCCAAAGAAAAGCAGTTTTGTGCCTCGATCAAGGTACTAGTTATTATTGTTACATAGTTCAAAGGAATATTTTTAGTCTGCCTACCCAAATCAGATAAGTGTTATGGGAGGGCTAGCATTGTATTTGGTTATGCTGATGACCTCTTGTCGCCCCCCCCCCCTTTTTTTTTCAACATTTCCTACACCTAAATTAGAACAATGCAATAAGTTTCTGTGAATTTTTAATTTAACTAAACAGAGGATTTTTGCAAGCTTTAATTTATTGTTTGTTAAAATTGTATATGAAATCTTGGTTTATTATATAAACTAATTAGAGTAAATATATTTAAAATGACTAATATTGTAACCATGCTTCTTTACTAAATTTTCTATTGATGCAATGTTTTCTATTGTATTCTCCAATATGGTGGATAGGTAGGCTGGTCACTGATGCTTTAAAGTGTTATTTGTTTCTAACAGTGGTTTGCTGATGTAATTTCCCCATTTCTGGACTGGGAGTCCAAAGGTTCCATCGCCAAGCTACTGAACTGAGTGCTTAGTGTGACTCTGTGAGTGGTGGATTTAATTTTAATGTTTTTTTTTTCCTGTTTGCCTGTAGCGGTTTTGTATTTTGACCTGTACTGAAAATGGGAGGTAGCTGATTATAGTATTGCATGTGCAGTGCCAGCTTTTGTAATTGACTGTCTGCATCAAAAGTGGGCTACAATTCTTATAATTCTGCCATCCAACAATTTATTCCATAAGTATCCAGACTGGAGCATCGCCTGAGAGTTATGGTAACTGGTTTATTGAATGTAGTCTCAGAAAGCCGTCCAAGAGTCACAGTGATTGCCTTAACTTCCATTCAGTAGGTAGATATCATGACTGCTATGCTATTGTTCTGCCCTTTCATAAAAGTTCCATCTCAGTCTCACACCTCGCTGCCCGCTGATCCTCTCCAGCAGTATCCTGTAGTGTTTATATTTTCTCTTTAATGGTTAAATTTTCCTAAAACTTTCAGGCTTACAGTACCTAGCAGCCACACACGACTGACACAGAAAGATATGAACTTGACAAGCACATCCACAGACCAGCAACCTCTTGTAGCAATTATGTCAGATGAAAGGTGAGCACAGGTTTAGCTATAATTTGTTGTAATTTTATTTTACCATTCGTGATAGCTTGCCAATTTCGTCATGTGTTTCTGTTGTAGTTAGCATCCTTTGGATATTTTCTCCAGGTCATGCCGGTATGTTGGGAAATGAGCAGGCAGATAGACTGGCTGGTTCTGCACCACTTGGTGGTGAATTCATGTATGACAAGTTAGATATTGTGAGGACCCTTTTGGAGTGAGTGAATAGTGCAGAGGTGCAGATAGATCATTACGGTCTAAGGAGAATGGCACTACGAGGAGTTACCAGGAGTTCTGGCTGACACTCAGGGCAAGGATGGGGCGGATATACAATCAGACGGTTACTGGTACCATCAGAATTGAAATTCTTCATTTGCTGCTGAATATAGGGACTGAGCACTTATGAGAGTGTCCTGAGTGCTGTGATGGCTGTTATTCAACTTTCATCGTTCATGTGTTATTGTTTTAATTTAAACTAATTAGAATAGATACAAATTGCATCTCTCTCTCTCTCTCCCTCTCTCTCTGTGTGTGTGTTGCCCGCTTAAATTAAAGTAACTGGGAAACTAATCTCTCTCTCTGTGTGTGTGTGTGTGTTGCCTGCTTAAATTAAAGTAACTGGGAAACTAATCTCTCTCTCTCTCTCTCTCTCTCTCTGTTGCCCGCCTAAGTTAAAGTAACTGGGAAACTAACATTAATTTTCTAAGAATCAGTTTGTGGGCAGTATATGGGTTGTTGTTTTTTCGGTGATCTGTGGATATGAAACTAGTACACATCTATGTCTAGTGACAGTTTGTGAACAGTCACAAAGTGACCAATTTCTACACTTTGAGGCATTTAGCATATTGTCACTCACACTCAATGAGTAGTTTGCTCATTGTAACACTCACCACATTTATTGGGCGGAACATACATGGGGAAACCCAAAAAGGAGCTTGCATCTATTGGTGTGAGGCTGGCATAGAGACTTTTTTTTCTGACCTATGGCAGTCGTCAATGAGGACTATTGTGGAGCTGTCCATCCCTTTGCCACGCTTATAAGCCAGCAAGGTTTCAAATATCTGTACTGACACTTCAAATTTATAAGGAGGTCCATTGTTTTCTTGGTATAGTAGATGGGCTGGGCACTTATGAAGAGGTGTTCTAAAGTCCACGAAAGTATCTAGATTTATTGTGACTTCTGTGACATTCTACAGACCTGGTGAGAAGGGAGTTATTAACTCGTCTTTTCCAAGTATCTTTGTTCTTTTCCCAATATTGCTTAATATTGTTTTTTGTTATTTTACTAAGTTTAGTTTTGCAGTTGTAGTGCTTACTCTGTTTTGAAGGTATCAAGTTCAGCATTTAGTAAAATCCTTGAAATATTTTTGTTGAAATATTGTTGATTAGGGAATATAACCAAATTTGTGAATATAGCAGCCACATTAAAAAATGTAATATAAGTATCTAACAATTAAATAAGATGTAAAATGTATCACAGAGATTTAAAAAAAAAGGACAATCAAAAGTTGCATTCCATAAAATGAACAATTTCATTATGCAATAAATCCTCGTCAGGTGAGGCTTGAAAAAGAATCATGGCTTGCTATATATAGCCAGTTTTATTATATGGCTGTGAATCTAAAACAGTTAACAAGCAATTTCTTGAGGCCTCAGAGATGTGGTTTTACAGAAGGAAGCTTACAATTCATCGGACAGCCAGAATGAGTAACCCAGATGTATTGAAAGAAGCGAGAGCTCGAAGACAGCTTATCACAAACATTAGGAGGAGACAGTCATCATTTTTTGGTTATGTTATGAGAAGATGGAAACGGGAATATATTATGACCTTTGGAAAGATTTGTGGAAAGAGAGAAGGAGAAAGAAAAAGAAGGAGATTCTTGACAGCCATATGTTATGGCATGGTGGGGTGTCAGCACATAAACTGATACATGCCGTCAGAGATTGCAGGTTACATGCCTTTAGAGATTGCAGGTTGCATGCCGTCAGAGATCGCAGGTTATGAAGAGACAAGATCAGCAAGAAACATGATGACATAGAACAGCCGTTCTCAGCCTGTGGGTCACGACCTTTTCACGGGGGTCACCTAAGGCCATTGGAAAACACATATTCGTTGAAGTTATGAAGTAGTAACGAAAATAAATGTATGTTTAGGGGTCGCCACAACACAGGGAACTGTATTAAAGGGTCGCAGCATTAGGAAGGTTGAGAACCACTGGTATAGAGTTTTGACCCTGGATATAGGACATGTTTATTTGATGTCACCTGCTGACTTATTGCATTGCATTTAACATTCAATAATGAACAATTTTTTGTTTGTTTAGTGAGGAGGATGAATTTGATATACTACGTTTGCCTAAAGCTGCCCACAAAGAGATTACAGAACAGTTAATCAAAGATGGCTACAACCTTGACCTAGAACCGGATGATGAAGACCTTGACCTTATACCACCAAGACCTTTGAAAGAAAGGTGTTCTTGCTGTACCTTGCCTGTTGGTTGCCTAATTCAGTGATTATCGCTTAGCAGTATGCTAAGAATGTGTATGTTTGATTGTATGTGTGTGCGAAAGTAATATATTTGTCTCTAGTTTTCTTTATGTCTGTAAAATATAAATAATTTTTAATGGCTTATCTTATATGATGCAATATAGATATTTTTCCTCTGGAAACAAATGATGCGTGAATAATCATTTATTAATTTTACAAAAAATTTGTTGTTATTAACTGGTCCCTGCACTGAATGGTATGACGAAATCTCAGATTTAGAGCTCATGCCAAGAATTAAAGGCATTTTAGTAAATGATAGGTACTGGACAAAAGTTGTTGATTGCATGACAAGAAGGTTCTTCTGCTTAAATCTACAAGACAAAATATAGATATTTTTCTGTATTTGACACATTATGTTTTTACCATATCTTTTAGGTTTAAAATTGCAGTCGACTTATACACAGAATGTTTTTAAAATATTTATTTCCAAATTTTTAGCTTTAAAAAATAGGGGTCATCTTAGACATAAAAATAGGGCCAATCCAAACCCTTTGAGAAAAGAGTGAGGTTATGAAGACATTATGAGACCAATGAACGGTATGGGAAAGATATAGAGGACAGTATTAAGAAGCTTAAGAGGGATTAAGATAGAAAATAAAGCTGTACACTTTAGTAATTAAAAAGGAAGACTTATTAAAAAGCTTACAGAAAATGTCTCTAGAATGGCACAGTGTATTGTATTCAGACTAAGGACAGGGCACAACAGACTTCGCCAGCATATGTTCAAACTTTCCGGTGTAGGAAACACAGAGACGTGCCTCTGCAACTTGGCATCCGATAATGCTGAGCATGTGCTCCAACACTGTCAACTGTATGCTGACAATAGAGATGCAATCTCAATCTGGCCTGTTCCAACCACCATGAAGACAAAACTGTATGGTACACAAGAAGATACAGATTGCACGATAACTTTCATAAAAGCTACCGGCCTAATGATATAAGTTTTCTGACAGAAGGAGCGAAGAAGAAGAAGAATGACATATATTTTTAATAAATCAAAGCAATGTTTCTCCCGTTGTGAATTCGACCAAAGAAGACACAAACAGTAGACTCCAGAGTTTATTGCCTGTCGTAAGGAAGCCATGATAATAAACAGGTTTAGTCCAGAATTATGTACACAAAAAGACATGGTAGTGAACTTGTGTTTGCTTTAATGAAACAGGCTGTTTTTGTTGAATGTTTTGAAGGATTTGTTCACTTGCTTCATTTTAATGAATTGTTACTGTAGTGTGCACCTGACAAGATACAGCGAAATATGCCAGGCTTTGAAATGTGCTGTCTTTTGCTTGTGTCTTCTTTGTTCAAATATATTTTTGATGATGATGTGCCAATTTTTTGTACCATAATAATGTTTATATTTCATATAAGCTCATAAATGGTATATAATTTATTTTTGTTTGCTATTGGAAGCTTTCTAGCCATGACATCTGTTCTGTCACTTGTCGTGATCTTGTAAGACTGACATTTCCCTTTTATGAGGGGAAGTCAATAAGTAAGTCACAAATGGTTGTTTAAAAAAAAAAATACTAAAGACAAAAACAATTTGAAAACCAAAATATTTTTACACATGCACTGTCCCTTTATTTTCCAACATAATTTCCACCAACACTGATGCACTTGTCCCATTGTTTTATCAGTCCTCCCAAACCTGCTGCATAGAACTGCATGCTCTGTTTTCTAAACCATATTTTCACTTCACATTTAACTTCTGTGTCATTTGCAAAAAACGTATCCCACTAAGGTGGGTTTTTAGTGGAACAGAAATATGGAAACCACTAGGGGGCTAAGTCAGGGCTCTAAGCTGGATGTTCCAGATGTTCCCACACTAGATGGTTAATTTTCTCCTTAGTTAATCAAGCCGAATGTGGTCTGGCATTTTCATGAAGGAGCAGTACTCCTCTAGTCAGTAGGCTTAGACGTTTTCTTTGAATTGTATCATAAAGCATTAATAGAACTTTACAGAATGAATCAGCATTCACATTGTCACCCTTTTTTTTTTAAAAACTGGTTAAAAGCACTTCTTGACAATCCCAGAACACTGCAAAGACAGGCCTAATCAGGTAATTTTGTGTTGGTCCATCAATTGTTTGGGTACCCACCTTGAGCATTCTTCCTTAAATTTTAATTGATCATGCATAATTGTGTATGCTGAACCATGTGAGCACCCTATTGCACCTGCTAAAGAGTCTATCCTGCACCTGCTGTACGGATGCACATGTTGCAATCTCAACAGGTTGACCAGATCGGACTTTATCAACAATTTTAGAGTGTAAAAATTCTTTTTACTTAGCTATGCACTGCTTTACGGGATAAGCATTTGTCATCATAAACAGGAAACATTTCCTTATGAATGTCCTTTGCGGGCAGCCCATTTGTTCCTGCCCCCTCCCCCAAATGCACAATAGCACGTTGTTCTTTGAGGGTACACTCCATAAGTACTGTCGTCATTTTATTTCTGTGTTGTGAATAAGCATGCAACACCTGGCGCCACCTAACGAACTGAGACATAAAGTTAGATGTTGCTGTCACCTTTAGAAACCACCAACTACATTTTCCTGCCATCCCATAACCATTTGTGACTTATTGACTTCCCCTCGTAATTGATTTTATTTATTTATTTATTCCTTTTATCGTGTATTTTGTAAAGGACATGATAAATTCACTTACATAATATTCTACAATTGTTGCATATAACTTGCATTTGTTTAGTTAGATGACAGATATTGTATGCATATTTGTATATTTAGAATAGCTGTGGGAAGATTTTTCACTCACTATCAGGCATATTTGGACATACTTAGATTCATGCAGCAGAAATAAGACTGAAGGTACCTTTTTGTATCTGTATGTAGATTTTGCATGTATATCACATCCCTATGTAGCATGTCTTCCTTTGCATATTCTTTACAGGAAGTTGCAGAAGCAACCCCAGCATTTTTTTTTTTTTTTTCTGTTGTGGTTTTTCTAGGCAAATTTTACATTCAGTATTTTGCCAATGCTTTTTGAACGGTCAAATCTCGGTACCACTGTAGAAGCCAATGCAAGACAAATTGTCCGCAGCTGGGACCGACCTCGGCAAATTACGAAGCGCGTTCGCAATGTCTAAGCCACAGACTTAAATACAAGCTTAATAACTTATCAAAAAACAGCAAAATGATAGTGATGTTTGAAGGTAAAGGTAAGGTGATGAAGTATGTAATACGTGTGAAAAAACATTTCATTTGAGGCATACTGCATTGATTGAGTTTATACTACTGATCATTTTTTGTAAGTAGTTTAACTCTCTAGCTTCATTAAGATCCTAAAAATTTTGAGTATTGGGTCAGTTTTTGTGAATATCCAGGGGATTGAACCGATATCCAGCAACAGGCAGATGTGTCACATGACGCGTCTGTTTTATGTCTTGAGTAGGGTTTCCTCTAGTAATCAAAGACACTCTGAAGTGACTTAATGTTAGATGGTGGCTCCCATTGGTCTAAAAGGTACTCTGTAGCTCCAACAACCATCCAACATCACTTCAGGGTTAAGGCGACTCAAATTATGATTCCCACTGCAATAACAAATATTCCTGGCCACAACGTAGCCTGACTTCCTCACCACTTGGAAGCTCCCAGACTCTATAGCAAACCTATCATAGTAAAAAATTAACACAGTAATGAGATCTGACCAAAACAACACCACACTCACATAGAATCTAACCAAAAAGAACTGGAAAAGATTGGACACTGACAAATCTGAATCCACAATAATAATACATAATCTAATAGGTACAACACAGTAAAGACTGTGAAAGGAAAGTTAATGAAGATGTCAAATAAATAACACTACTGAATAAAGAACTGAACTATTCCAGAAAGACTCCTAGTTTGCCTACAACACATTTAGAAGTCATCATGGCACGATCTTGTTGTGATGTGGATAAAAGTGGGCACTAAGTGTCTTGGGTGGCTGTGGCTCTGTTTTACACCAGTATACTCATCAGTGATGGACTTGGTCCTCTCCACAATTTGTAGGCAGAACTTCCATAGGAGCAGTGCTGGACAAGGTGTTAGGCATAAGTTTTTGCGAGGAAATGATATCAGGTACTATGCAGCAACATTTAAATGTGCAGAAAGCACTTATTGTTTGTGTTTAAACAAAGGGAAAGGTTCCTTTAAAATAATACTGTCAAAAATAAACACATCAGCTTGCAACACTCTGATTGGGTTTGGCAGAAGAGCAGATCATGGACCCTTTATATCTGCACATGATGATGATTGGCTGGTACAAACTGCCATATGTCAAGTGTGACACAAATTGTTACCCCCTGTTGCTTTACCACAGAGATTGGTCTCAGGCAATCATACGTACTGCTGTTCTGTACTGAGGTATATACTGTTGGGTACTGACACTGGATGCAGTTGTAAATCAATGGTATGCTTTAACTTGTGATTCTGACAAAAGCTCCCAGAGAGGTCAGCAGAAATCCCCTGCTCATTTGAAGTTACCGGATGAAATGGAGACTTTCAAAGAAAGTACTAAGAGACTTTCAAGACAAAGGTGAAATCTGTCTATCTGCTCTTGAGGTTGAGCCACGAATGAATCTATTAGTTCCAATCTGCCCCAATCATAAATATCTAAAACATTTCTTTTGGGTAAATGTAATTATACACACCATGTCAAAACACTGCAGATGCAGCCAGCACCAAAGTTGTTATACAAGCCTATTTTATTAGACCCAACCACAAGCCACACCCATGAGTTGTTAATCCAACAGACTGCAGACTTGCAGTTAAACAGCTGGAGAGAAAAAAATACAGGCCACTGGGCACTTTCCAATAACATCTAACCCAGACTGACTGACTGACTTTGACTTTCCCCACCAGGACATCACACAAGCGATAAACACCCGATGACACAAAGTGCCACCATGTGGGTGAGGATCACCGTGGAGAGGTCCCAGAAACCACGTTCAGACAATTGGCCA